TATTGTTTTTATGAGCCAGGGGGGGGGCTTAGAATCTGGCTTATTCAGGGAATCAAAATAAAATTTTTTGGCCCCCCTTTGAAAAACAAAAATTTTTCTTTAAAATCAAAAAAGTCTCTAACTACTTCTTCCTTTCTTAATTTTTTTGCTCTTTGTCTGTTTTTTTCCAAAGGAGTCTCAGTTTCTCAACTCTTTTTTGTAATCCTCTTTACCATGTAAGGACCCAATTTTTTCCCGATTTTATTGACTCCTTATCAAAAGGACCAATTTTTTCTTTTTTCAAGAAGGAATTTCATAGGTCTAAAACCCTTGTCAGGGCCCCGGGTATGACCGAGGTGTGTGACGACGCAGGGAAACGCAGCCCAAAATTAGTTTAAAACAATGTAATTTTTAACACTAACAAACAAACAAAACGCGTGCAATACAAAAAAAAAACACAGGAAAAAAACCCAAACCAACCACCCCCAGATAACAATACAAAGAGAGGCGAAGTATTAAAAAATTCATTCGACTGATTCCGAATTTCGTGGAAAAATTTTTGATTCGATCGAATAATTCGCGCGAATTTAACTTAAAAAAGGGGGTTTTTTCTAGCTTCAGAAGCCTTTATATTAGTGCAGAACACTGTACCTTTAAATTTTAAAAATCCCCTTGGAGCCTGCGGGGAAGAGAAAAATACTGACAGTCAAAATGCAGCAGATGATCCGCGTCTTAGAACACCGCACATTTTCACTCATTGGGCAGTCACGGGGAAAAAAAACCCAGGGTGGGAGCCACAGGGGCGGGGAGGCAGCACAATGGAGGCCATACAGCACCCAGAAAAAATGGAAACCCCCGCATGTGGGGAGACCGAAAGGGCACATGGCAGAGTGGGGCGAGGGAGACAGCAGCAATGGGAGCCTACAGGGACCCATGACACACTCTGGACCTGGCACAGCAGAGGAGGGGGTACGGGGCCCATGACAATTACGGGCCTGGCAGCAGCTGAGGATCGGTACGGGGCCCATGGCAATTAGGGGCCGGGCGCAGCTTGGAGCCCGAATCTGCCAGCACCCTAGACAAAAAGGGAACACACCACATGTAGGAACCTGAAAGTGGCACATGGCAAGTGTGGCATGGAGACCAGCAATGGAGGGCCGTACGGACCCATAAAACCTGGACCGGCAGCACATGAGGGGGCGGTAGGGGGGCCCAGGGGCAATTTGGGGGCCTGGCACAGCTAGGGGGCCCGTAATCTCCAGTACCCTAACAAAAAAGGGAAACACACCACATTTGGAGGAGACCTGAAAGGGCACATGGCAGAGTGTGGCGAAGAACGCCAATGGAGGCCGTACAGGGACCCATGAGAGACCTGGACTTGGCAGCAGCATGGGGAGGCGGATAGGGGTCCATGGCAATTGGGGGCCTGGCAGCTGCTAGGGGGGCCCCCGAAATTGCCAGCACCCTATGACAAAAAATAAAACACCCACATGTGGGGAACCTAAAGGGGCACATTTTTGGGGCATATTCTGGGGGTTTTAGTCTTTGTGTCAGGAACTGGTGGTTTTGAAACCAGACTAATCCCGCCTGATTCATTTTCACAAAACGTAGTCTCTCCACACTTTGGGTGGATAGCCCCTGCCTCCGCGATACAATACCTCCTGCCGCACTAAACACGCGCTCCATGCCCCGCAATAGGGGGGCCCAAATAGGTAAGCCCCGGTTTTGGGGCCCCTTCCCCCAAATCCACCGATTCTGCTGCCGGGTGCGGCTGGGGAGTATTTCCTCCTGCCTGGTGAAAAAGCTACTCATCATCGACTGCAGACTGAGGGAGCGCTGCTGGGGAGCTGCCACTGCTCCACCAGCCCCACCCCTCCCCTGCTGCCATGGCAGCGAACGCGAGCGCACAGGGCCCACCACAGTGTCTGAGTGATGGACTTAGGCACAGAAAGGCAGAGACCAGCTGACTACAAGGTTGTTTTTATAGTATCGTTATTTTGGCCCTCCCTCTCATAGCAGAGTGTAAAAAGGCCAACCATTTTGAAACGGTAAGCGAGGGGTCCAACAAGGTGGACAGCCAAAAGTCATCCCTCTGTCTGATGGTTATTTATTTCGGCTGTCGGTACACAAGCCAAGCGAGCATGCTATGGCCATTTGTGCCCAAGGAGAATGCGAGGGACTCCCTGCCTCCATCACCACATCATACTGCCACGGTGCGTCCTGGGTCCTCTGTCTCCTCTTCCTCCCTCCTCTACCAGATGCTCCTTGCTCCTCCACTCCATGTCCGCTGAGTGGAAAAACCACCCATTTCACTCAATAATTCCTGAGCACCAATGTGTCCTCCTCCTCACCCTCCTCCTCTTTTCCTGTCCTGCCCCCAACAGGGAGTACCTTTATCCGCTTTTAACATCAGGAAATCTGTGATGGCCTTTCGCTGTTCGTAAAGGCGGTCTAACATATGTAGGGTTGAATTCCACCTTGTTGCAACGTCACAGCATGAGGAGTCGGTACGGGGGCCCATGGCAGATTACGGGCCTGGCAGCAGCAATGGGAGGCCCGTAATCTGCCAGCACCCTATGACAAAAAATGTAACACACCAGCAGTGTGAGGAGATCTGAAAGTGGCACATGGCAGAGTGTGGCGATGGAGACAGCAGCAATGGGAGGCCGTACAGGGACCCATGAGAGACTCTGGACCTGGCAGCAGCATGAGGAGGCGGTATAGGGGCCCATGGCAGATTAGGGGCCTGGCAGCAGCTATGGGAGGCCCGTAATCTGCCAGCACCCTATGACAAAAAATGGAACACACCAGCAGTGTGAGGAGACCTGAAAGTGGCACATGGCAGAGTGTGGCGATGGAGACAGCAGCAATGGGACGCCGTACAGGGACCCATGAGAGACTCTGGACCTTGGCAGCAGCATGGGAGGCCCGTAATCTGGGCCCCTATGGCAGATTAGGGGCAAAAAGCAGCTATGGGAGGCCCGTAATCTGCCAGCACCCTATGACAAAAAATGGAACACACAGCAGCAGTGTGGGATGGAGACAGCAGAAATGTGAGGCCGTACAGGCCCATGAGACACTGTGGACCTGGCAGCAGCATGAGGAGGCGGTCACAGGGGCCCATGGCAGATTAGGGCCTGGCAGCAGCTATGGGAGGCCCGTAATCTGCCAGCACCCTATGACAAAAAATGGAACACACCAGCAGTGTGAGGAGACCTGAAAGTGGCACATGGGGAGATGGGCGGAAGGAGACAGCAGCAACTGGGAGGTACAGGGACCATGAAGGCAGAGACTCTGATCCTGGCAGCAGCATGGGAGGCGGTATAGGGGCCCATGGCACTTAGGGGCCTGGCAGCAGCTATGGGAGGCCCGTAATCTGCCAGCACCCTTGTCACAACCTGAAATAACACACCAGCAGTGTGAGGAGACCTGAAAGTGGCACATGGACCATGAGAGACACTCTGGACCTGGCAGCAGCATGAGGAGGCGGGCGGTATAGGGGCCCATGGCAGATTAGGGGCCTGGCAGCAGCTATGGGAGGCCCGTAATCTGCCAGCACCCTATGACAAAAAATGGAACACACCAGCAGTGTGAGGAAGACCTGAAAGTGGCACATGGCAAGGCAGACAGCAGCAATGGGAGGCCGTACTGGACCCCATGGAGACTCTGACCTGCAGCAGCATGAGGAGGCGGTACTAGGGGCCCATGGCAGATTTAGGGGCCTGCAGCAGCTATGGGAGGCCCGTAATCTGCCAGCAACCCTAAGGACAAAAAATGTCACAAAAATGGAACACACCAGCAGTGTGATGGAGACAGCTGAAATGTGGCCGTACAGGGACATGAGATGGGGACCTGGCAGCAGCATGAGGAGGCGGTATAGGGGCCCATGGCAGATTAGGGGCCTGGCAGCAGCTATGGGAGGCCCGTAATCTGCCAGCACCCTATGTCAAAAAATTGAACACACCAGCATGTGAGGAGTGAGACCTGAAAGGTGGTGGACACATGGCATGAGACACTGTGGACCTGGCAGCAGCATGAGGAGCGGTACAGGGGCCCATGGCAGATTAGGGGCCTGGCAGCAGCTATGGAGAGGCCCGTAATCTGCCAGCACCCTATGACAAAAAATGGAACACACCAGCAGTGTGTGAGGAGGAGACCTGAAAGTGGCACATGGCAGAGTGTGGCGATGGAGACAGCAGCAATGGGAGGCCGTACAGGGACCCATGAGAGACTCTGGACTTGGCAGCAGCATGAGGAGGCGTATAGGGGCCCATGGCAGATTAGGGGCCTGGCAGCAGCTATGGGAGGCCCGTAATCTGCCAGCACCCTATGACAAAAAATGGAACACACCAGCAGTGTGAGGAGACCTGAAAGTGGCACATGGCATGAGACACTGTGGACCTGGCAGCAGCATGAGGGAGGCGGTACAGGGCCCATGGCAGATTAGGGCCTGGCAGCAGCTATGGAGGCCCGTAATCTGCCAGCACCCTATGTCAAAAAATTGAACACACCAGCAGTGTGAGGAGACCTGAAAGTGGCACATGGCATGAGACACTGTGGACCTGGCAGCAGCATGAGGAGGCAGTACAGGGGCCCATGGCAGATTAGGGGCCTGGCAGCAGCTATGGGAGGCCCGTAATCTGCCAGCACCCTATGACAAAAATGAACACACCAGCAGTGTGAGGAGACCTGAAAGTGGCACATGGCAGAGTGTGGCGATGGAGACAGCAGCAATGGGAGGCCGTACAGGGACCCATGACAGACTCTGGACTTGGCAGCAGCATGAGGAGGCGGTATAGGGGCCCATGGCAGATTAGGGGCCTGGCAGCAGCTATGGGAGGCCCGTAATCTGCCAGCACCCTATGAAAAAATTCAACACACCAGCAGTGTGAGGAGACCTGAAAGTGGCACATGGCAGGTGGCATGAGACACAGCAATGGAGGCCGTGTGGACCTGGACCTGGCAGCAGCATGAGAGGCGGTACAGGGGCCCATGGCAGATTAGGGGCCTGGCAGCAGCTATGGGAGGCCCGTAATCTGCCAGCACCCTATGACAAAAAAATGAACACACCAGCAGTGTGAGGAGACCTGAAAGTGGCACATGGCAGAGTGTGGCGATGGAGACAGCAGCAATGGGAGGCCGTACAGGGACCCATGAGAGACTCTGGACCTGGCAGCAGCATGAGGAGGCGCGTACAGGGGCCCATGGCAGATTAGGGGCCTGGCAGCAGCAATGGGAGGCCCGTAATCTGCCAGCACCCTATGACAAAAAATGTAACACACCAGCAGTGTGTGAGGAGACCTGAAAGTGGCACATGGCAGAGTGTGGGCGATGGAGACAGCAGCAATGGGAGGACCGTACAGGGACCCATGAGAGACTCTGGACCTGGCACAGCAGCATGAGGGGCGGTATAGGGGCCCATTGCAGATTAGGGGCCTGGCAGCAGCTATAGGAGGCCCGTAATCTGTCAGCACCCCTATGTCAAAAAATTGAACACACCAGCAGTGTGTGAGGAGACCTGAAAGTGGCACATGGGCCGAGTGTGGACCTGGAGACAGCAGCATATGAGGAGGCGGTACAGGGCCCATGGCAGATTAGGGGCCTGGCAGCAGCTATAGGAGGCCCGTAATCTGCCAGCACCCTATGAACAAAAAATGGAACACACCAGCAGTGTGAGGAGACCTGAAAGTGGCACATGGCAGAGTGTGGCGATGGAGACAGCAGCAATGGGAGGCCGTACAGGGACCCATGAGACACTGTGGACCTGGTAGCAGCATGAGGAGGCGGTACAAGGGCCCATGGCAGATTAGGGGCCTGGCAGCAGCAATGGGAGGCCCGTAATCTGCCAGCACCCTATGACAAAAAATGGAACACACCAGCATGTGTGAGGAGACCTGAAAGTGGCACATGGCAGAGTGTGTGCGATGGAGACAGCAGCAATGGGAGGCCGTACAGGGACCCATGAGAGACTCTGGACTTCGCAGCAGCATGAGGAGGCGGTATAGGGGCCCATGACAGATTAGGGGCCTGGCAGCAGCTATGGGAGGCCCGTAATTTGCCAGCACCTATGTCAAAAAAATTGAACACACCAGCAGTGTGTGAGGAGACCTGAAAGTGGCACATGGCAGTAGGAGAGTGTGGCGATGGAGACAGCAGCAATGGGAGGCCGTACAGGGACCCATGAGAGACTCTGGACTTCGCAGCATGAGGAGGCGGTATAGGGGCCCATGGCAGATTAGGGGCCTGGCAGCAGCTATGGGAGGCCCGTAATTTGCCAGCACCCTATGTCAAAAAAATTGAACACACCAGCAGTGTGTGAGGAGACCTGAAAGTGGCACATGGCAGAGTGTGTGGCGATGGAGACAGCAGCAATGGGAGGCCGTACAGGGACCCATGAGAGACTCTGGACTTCGCAGCAGCATGAGGAGGCGGTATAGGGGCCCATTGCAGATTAGGGCCCTGGCAGCAGCTATGGGAGGCCCGTAATCTGCCAGCACTCTATGACAAAAAATTGGAACACACCAGCAGTGTGAGGAGACCTGAAAGTGGCACATGGCATGAGACACTGTGGACCTGGCAGCAGCATGAGGGGGCGTACAGGGGCCCATGGCAGATTAGGGCCTGGCAGCAGCTATGGGAGGAGGCCCGTAATCTGCCAGCACCCTATGACAAAAAATGGAACACACCAGCAGTGTGTGAGGAGACCTGAAAGTGGCACATGGCAGAGTGTGGCGATGGAGACAACCCACCGACTGTTTTGCTCGCTGCCAAGCTGCCACCCTCTTCTCCTGATGATGCGGAAGCAATAGCCTGATGACGACGAGGCTGCCAAATGCGATCAGCCTCATCATCATCAATTAGGGTCTCCGCCTCACTACTAGCCCCCTCGGCTGCGTGTGGGTCAGGAGACAGACCTGTCTCTAGACCGGCTACCGAGCCACTCTCCTCGCCACTACTTCTTCGCCTAGCTGCTGAAGAGGCGGATGTCTCCCCCCGTTCCTGACCGCCCTCTGTTTAGCTCTTCCTCACTGTACTGGATGACACCGGGATCACTGGCCTCTGGCTGCGAATAGTGCTGCCTCGACCCCTTCCTCTGCTGCCACGTCTGCTCGCTCCTAAAACATTGCCTCCTCTGCCACTTCTCTGCATGTTGTCTGACATACTCTTTAATTCAACGATTCTGTGTCCCTGAGTAACAATTCTGTGTCTGTCCCTGAGTAACAATTCTGTGTCCCTGAGTAACGTTTCTGTGGCCCTAAGTAACAGTTCTGTGGCCCTCAGTAACAATTCTGTGTCCCTCAGTAACAATTCTGTGTCCCTCAGTAACAATTCTGTGTCCCTCAGTAACAATTCTGTGTCTGTCCCTGAGTAACAATTCTGTGTCCCTGAGTAACAATTCTGTGTCCCACAGTAACAATTCTGTGTCCCTCAGTAACAATTCTGTGTCCCTCAGTAACAATTCTGTGTCCCTGAGTAACAATTCTGTGTCTGTCCCTGAGTAAGAATTCTGTGTCTGTCCCTGAGTAACAATTCTGTGTCCCTAAGTAACGTTTCTGTTGCCCTAAGTAACGTTTCTGTGGCCCTAAGTAACGTTTCTGTGGCCCTAAGTAACGATTCTGTGGCCCTCAGTAACAATTCTGTGTCCCTCAGTAACAATTCTGTGTCCCTGAGTAACAATTCTGTGTCTGTCCCTGAGTAACAATTCTGTGTCTGTCCTGATTAACAATTCTGTGTCCCTGAGTAACGTTTCTGTGGCCCTAAGTAACAGTTCTGTGTCCCTCAGTAACAATTCTGTGTCCCTCAGTAACAATTCTGTGTCCCCCAATAACAATTCTGTGTCTGTCCCTGAGTAACAATTCTGTGTCTGTCCCTGAGTAACAATTCTGTGTCCCTGAGTAACGTTTCTGTGGCCCTAAGTAACAGTTCTGTGGCCCTCAGTAACAATTCTGTGTCCCTCAGTAACAATTCTGTGTCTGTCCATGAGTAACAATTCTGTGTCTGTCCCTGAGTAACAATTCTGTGTCCCTCAGTAACAATTCTGTGTCCCTCAGTAACAATTCTGTGTCCCTGAGTAACAATTCTTTGTCCCTCAGTAACAATTCTGTGGTCCCTCAGTAACAATTCTGTGTCCCTCAGTAACAATTCTGTGTCCCTCAGTAACAATTATGTGTCCCCTGAGTAACAATTCTGTGTCCCTGAGTAACAATTCTGTGTCTGTCCCTGAGTAAGAATTCTGTGTCTGTCCCTGAGTAATAATTCTGTGTCCCTAAGTAACGTTTCTGTTGCCCTAAGTAACGTTTCTGTGGCCCTAAGTAATGTTTCTGTGGCCCTAAGTAATGATTCTGTGGCCCTCAGTAACAATTCTGTGTCCCTCAGTAACAATTCTGTGTCCCTGAGTAACAATTCTGTGTCTGTCCCTGAGTAAGAATTCTGTGTCTGTCCCTGATTAACAATTCTGTGTCCCTGAGTAACGTTTCTGTGGCCCTAAGTAACAGTTCTGTGGCCCTCAGTAACAATTTCTGTGTCCCTCAGTAACAATTCTGTGTCCCTCAGTAACAATTCTGTGTCCCTCAGTAACAATTCTGTGTCTGTCCCTGAGTAAATTCTGTGTCCCTGAGTAACGTTTCTGTGGCCCTAAGTAACAGTTCTGTGGCCCTCAGTAACAATTTCTGTGTCCCTCAGTAACAATTCTGTGTCTGTCCCTGAGTAACAATTCTGTGTCTGTCCCTGAGTAACAATTCTGTGTCCCTCAGTAACAATTCTGTGTCCCTCAGTAACAATTCTGTGTCCCTGAGTAACAATTCTGTGTCCCTCAGTAACAATTCTGTGTGTCCCTCAGTAACAATTCTGTGTCCCTGAGTAACAATTCTGTGTCTGTCCCTGAGTA